ATTTTGGACTTTTTGCTATTAAACATGTCCAGTGAAAAAATTTAAAAAATCAAATTTCGTCATAAATTTAGGCCAAAATGTATTCTGCTCCATGTCTTTGTTAAAAAAAAAAAAAAAAAAATCAAAATATGTGTAAATTAATTGGTTTACATGAAAGTTATAGCATTTACAAATGGCGGTATAGATACTGGATTTTTTTTTTTTTCTGCTAGTAATGGCGGCGATCAGTGACTTTTAGCGGGACTGGGGCAGACATTATGATACTGGGGGGGAACTAACTTGGTGTCACTGACATCCCCAGTGACACCAATACAGTAATCAGTGCTGAAAAAAAAGCACTGACACTGTATTAATGGCACTGGGCAGGAAGGGGTTAATATGAGGGGCGATCAAAGGGTTAACAGTGTGCTGGGAGTGTTTTACTAGGGGGCGGGGAGGTGTGTGCTTTACTGTAAGCACATTGATTGGGATGGCTGTGCTGTGCAGTGTGCTCGAGCTGACAGGGAGGAAGACTGTTTGTAAACAAAACAGTCTTCCTCCCCATCGTGATTGTTGGTTATCACTGGGCGCTAGCGGGTGATGGCACGTGAATCATATATATGTGATTTGGCGCACAGGTGCCAGTATGTCTGCTATAGGGTGGTCCTTAAGCGGTTAAATAAAGCACCATGGTGCACTCAAAGTAAAGATTCTCCTGGTGTTAGGGTATCTATTTATTTTATTTATTATTTATTACAGGTACTTATATACTGCCATCAATTTACACAGCACTCTACATATTGTCCATTTACATCAGTCCCTAACCCTCAAGGGGCGTACAATATAAGGTCCCTAACTCACAATCATACATACACATACTAGGGCCAATTTAGACAGGAGCCAAGTAACCTACCAGCATGTCTTTGGAGTGTGGGAGGAAACCGGAGTATCCGGAGGAAACAGGGAGAACATGCAAATTCCGTGCAGGTAGTGCCATGGCTGGGATTCGAACTGATGGCCGTAGTGCTGCTAGGTGGAAGTGTTAACTACTTAGCAGCTGTGCTGCCCAAGGGGACTATTTTTAGTCTCCCAGTGTTATCAGCTGTTGACGGAGGCACCCCAAAATACACAGCCTAAGAAGGGTCTTCCCTTCACTAGGAAGTGCCCTACTAGATGGAACTGCAAATGGGTGACTACACCATGGAGAGGAAGAAATACGCTCCACAAGAAAAGCAAAAGATGGGGCAGTTGGAAAATAGGTGAGAAGCAAACTAGGCCCTGACTGGCAGCCAACAATCAGATGTAGGAAGCAGCAGGACATGGAGACAGACACTGATGGGTTGATGGAATTCTAAAAATGGGCCATAATCTGAAGAACAATGACCTTACAAACAACATCCAAAACCCTTCTACTTACTGCAAGAAGCGGCTTTACCTTTAAACTTTTTGTTTTCTACTCAACTGTGGGTGGGCCAAGTCATCTCACACAACACAACAATTAAGGATTATATTTTTATTTGTGTTTTTTTTAACTCACCTATACCAATCTCTGGAGAAATTTCCTCTTCTTTAATCTTCATTTCTCTTACTTCCTCAGCTTTGAAGTCTCTCTGATTCTCTCTGGTGTCTGTGAATAAAGATGAGAGTGAAGCCCCCTGTACTGAGATGTATGAGACCCCAGAGAGTGTGTGTGGGGGGAGACTGGTCACGTCTCAATGACATGATGTGAGGAGGAGAGCCGGAGTCTAATAGAGCTGATGGCTCTTGACCCCCCCACTGGGCACATACTGTCCCCCCAGTACTGTCTACTGACAGAGTAGGGGGGAGAAAAAAAGAGATTGTTGTAGTGACTGAACAAGGAGGATCTGGAACTCTTCCCTGGATTTAGTGTTTATTCCTCACCTGTGCTCATCTCTGGAGGCATCTCCTCCTCCTTACGTGGCTCATTGCCCATCAAAGACAACTCTTCTTCTTCAACTTTAACCACAAAAAGGCCATCATTCTAGATAACACACAAACAGATCTGATCTATGAACTGAAATGAAGCAGAAGAATATCCTTTATTAATTTTAAGACTTTCAGCTCCATCTACCTGATCCTCCTGAGGGATCTCCTGATGTTCCTGTGTGGAGTCCCGGGAACACAGAGGACGGGGACATCTCTCTGGCGGGTTCCCATTACTGGATCCATCTGTAGGAAACACACACACTGACTGAATACATTGTTTCTATGTCTTTATATCAGAGGATGTGTGTATCTAGGTGGATCATCAATACTCTTCTCTCCTTTACAAGAAATGAAAGTCTCCTTTTACCCGGAGATGTGAGGGACAGCCAGTTCTCCATCATGATGCCTTTGTACAGATCTTGTGTCCTTCTAAATACTCCCACTCCTTTCTGAGCTTGGTGGATTGTTAAACTCCAGCTGCAATAGATACAAGTAAACAGTTACAGTATAGTGTAAACAACATTGATTTACGTAATGGGCTGTAAGACGTAATATGCTTTCAATAACACACTATATTGCCAAAAGTATTGGGCAAGCTCTCCAAATCATTGGATTCAGGTGTTCCAATCCCCTCCATGGCCACAGGTGTATACAATCAAGCCCCTAGGCATGCAGACTGCTTCTACAAACATTTGTGAAAGAATGGGTCGCTCTCAGGAGCTCAGTGACTCCAAGCGTGGTCCCGTGATATGTTGCCACCTGTGCAATAAGTCCATCCGTGACATTTCCTGGCTACTAAATATTCCACGCTCAACTGTTATTGTTAAGTAGACCTTTTCAATGAAGGACATCGACTCCAATAAGGTTGCATTTCTTCTGAGATAAATTTACTAATGAAGGGTTACAATGTGCACATCAGGTCATCATTGCATGCAGAGTACATTGCGATAACATGGATACATAGACAAGCCTTTTTATATGTTTCTTACACAATAGTTCCCAATGACGGGCATATTACCAAGTCCAATGCAAAGCATTGGATGCCGTGGTGTAAAGCACGCCACCACTGGAGTCTAGAGCAGTGGAGATGCTTTCTCTGGAGTGACAAATCAAGCTTCTCTGGCTATCGGATGAATGTGTCTGAGTTTGGCGGTTGCCAACAGAACGGTACTTGCCTGACTGCATTGTGCCAAGTGTAAAGTTTGGTGGAGGGGGATTATGTTGTGGGGTTGTTTTCAGGGGTTGGGCTTGGCCCCTTAGTCCCAGTGAAGGGAACTCTTAAGGAGTCAGCATACCAAGACATTTTGGAAAATTTCATGCTCCCAACTTTGTGGGAAGAGTTTGGGGATGGCCCCTTCCTGTTCCAACATGACTGCCCACCAGTGTACAAAGCAAGGTCCATAAAGACATGGAGTAGCCAGTTTGGGGTGGAGGAACTTGACTGACCTGCACAGAGTCCTGACCTCAACCCCATAGAATACCTTTGGGATAAATTAGAGTGGAGACTGCGAGCCAGGCCTCCTCCCCCGACATCAGTGCCTGACCTGACAAATGTGCTTCTGGAAGAATGGTCAAATCTTCACATAGACACCCTCCTAAACCTTGTGGACGGCCTTCCCAGAAGAGTTGAAGCTGTTATAGCTGCAAAGGGCGGGGCCAACTCAATATTGAACCCTACAGACTAAGACTGGGATGCCATTAAAGTTCATATGTGTGTAAAGGCAGGTGCCCCAATACTTTTGGCAATACAGTGTATGTTTCCAATCAGAAATAAGGAATCTGAAACTGAAGACCTTTTAAATATACAAGCTTCTAGGTAGTACTTTGAGTTGCTGACCTGGAAAAAGTATTTAAATGATAATTCTGGGTTTTGGGTGACTTTCATAACCTGTTGACTTGTTCTTGGTCAGCAACCTAAAATGCTGAATTTGGCATAAGGGGTTACCATAATAGCCAGGCAAAAAGCATTTTAAATGTGCCACACATTTCTCTTATGATGGGTTCACTGATATCTAACCACCAAGAACACCTCTCAAAGTTCTGAGTGACATAAAGCCTAGGCACCAAAATTCTAAGACAAAGACACACCCTGTTCATAACTAAGCTCATATATCCATAATTTTTCTATGGAAAAAGCCAACCAAAAATTACTAATGTGTCAGATGAAGGCATTTCACTGAAGAAGCATAACAATCCTAAACAGCTGCCAATGGCTCCTACGATCTGGTGGTCTGCTAAGAAAAGCAAAAAGGAGCAACGAGGAAGCAGAAGAAAGGAAAAAAGTCCCACGGGCATACATATATATTCCCATGGGCAACAAGTTTAAAAGGCTAAAGATCAAACCTATGTGGCTTACGGCCAAAGTTAAAAAGGCTATAGATAATAAGAAAAGAGCTTTTATTAAATATAAAAATGAAGGAACACTATCATTGTTTAAACATTACAAAGAATATAACAGAATATGCAAAAAAGAAATAAAGGCTGCAAAAATTGAAAACGAACGTCAGATTGCAAAAGATAGCAGGACCAACCCCAAAAAGTTCTTCAAATATATTAATAGTAAAAAGGTTTGGTTCGAGCATGTAGGCCCTTTTCAGAATAATCTAGAGTGGGTGACTGGGGACAAAGAGAAGGCAAATTTATTTAATCCCTTCTTCAGCTCTGTATATACAAAGGAGCATGGGGGAGCTCTTGTCCATAATGGGCGTGGTACTGACACAGCTCCAGATGATCCACATTGGCTCACAACTGATATGATCCAAAAATATTTAGACAGAATATAGGTGAATAAAGCCCCTGGACTGGATGGCACACACCCACGGGTCCTTAAAGAATTGAGCTCTGTCATTTCAAAGCCATTGTTTCTAATTTTTAGGGACTCTTTAATGACTGGCATAGTACCACTGGATTGGCGTAAGGCCAATGTGGTGCCAATATTTAAAAAGGGGTCAAAATCTTTACCAAGTAATTATAGACCTGTCAGTTTAACTTCTATAGTTGGGAAGATATTGGAGAGTTTAATAAAAGACCACATAGATGAGTTCTTGCTGGAAAAAAATATTTTAAGAGACAGACAGCATGGATTCATGAAAGACAGAAGTTGGCAAACAAATCTGATTTCTTTTTATGAGGAGGTGAGCAAAACCTTGGACAGAGGGATGGCAGTGGATGTGGTATACTTGGAAAGAGGGGGTGGCGGTGGACGCGGTATACTTGGACATGGCGGTGGACATGGTATACTTGGACAGAGGGGTGGCGGTGGACGTGGTATACTTGGACGGAGGTGTAGCGGTGGAGGTGGTATACTTGAACAGAGGGGTGGCTGTGGACGTGGTATACTTGGACAGAGGGGTGGCGGTGGACGTGGTATACTTGGACACAGGGGTGGCGGTGGACGTGGTATACTTGGACAGAGGGGTGGCGGTGGACGTGGTATACTTGGACAGAGGGGTGGCGGTGGACATGGTATACTTGGACAGAGGGGTGGCGGTGGACGTGGTATACTTGGACAGAGGGGTGGCATTGGACATGATATACTTGGACAGAGGGGTGTCGGTGGACGTGGTATACTTGGACAGAGGGGTGGCATTGGACATGATATACTTGGACAGAGGGGTGTCGGTGGACGTGGTATACTTGGATTTTGCAAAAGTGTTTGACACAGTTCCCCACACACAGCTAATCTGTAAGGTAAAGTCTACAGGCTTGGAAAAATCTGTATGTAAATGGTTAGAAAACTGCCTAAAAGATGGTATTCAGAGAGTAGTGGTTAACGATTCATACTCTAAATCAGCAATGGGCAAACTACGGCCCGGCGGACCTTTTAATCCGGCCCGCGGAGCGTGATACTGTCAGGATGATCTGTCCCCCTCGACGTATCTGCGCATGTGCCGGAGATCGCCGATCGGCTGCTAATGCCTGAAACTGGCACATGCGCAGATACGTCGAGGGGGACAGATCCTCATAGGAGACAGATTTTCATGCTACACCGGAACGGCGAGAGGAACGCGCGGAGCAAAGGTAAGTGAATTGACACGGGGGGGCTTGGGGACTTAATATAGGGGATGAATTAATATGGGGGATGAATTACTATATGGGGGATGAATTACTATGGGGGATGAATTACTATATGGGGGATGAATTACTATAGGGGGATGAATTACTATGGGGGATGAATTACTATGGGGGATGAATTACTATATGGGGGATGAATTACTATATGGGGGATGAATTACTATGGGGGATGAATTACTATATGGGGGATGAATTACTATATGGGGGATGAATTACTATGGGGGATGAATTACTATATGGGGGATGAATTACTATGAGGGATGAATTACTATATGGGGGATGAATTACTGTATGGGGGATGAATTACTATGGGGGATGAATTACTATATGGGGGATGAATTACTATATGGGGGATGAATTACTATGAGGGATGAATTACTATATGGGGGATGAATTACTATATGGGGGATGAATTACTATATGGGGGATGAATTACTATGAGGGATGAATTACTATGGGGGATGAATTACTATAGGGGGATGAATTACTATATGGGGGGTGAATTACTATATGGGGGGGTGAATTACTATGGGGGATGAATTACTATGGGGGATGAATTACTATATGGGGGATGAATTACTATATGGGGGATGAATTACTATAGGGGGGATGAATTACTATATGGGGGGTGAATTACTATGGGGGATGAATTACTATATGGGGGATGAATTAATATGGGGGATGAATTACTATATGGGGGATGAATTACTATGGGGGATGAATTACTATATGGGGGATGAATTACTATATGGGGGATGAATTACTATGGGGGATGAATTACTATGGGGGATGAATTACTATATGGGGGATGAATTACTATGGGGGATGAATTACTATATGGGGGATTAATTACTATGGCGGATGAATTACTATATGGGGGATTAATTACTATGGGGGATGAATTACTATGGGGGATGAATTACTATATGGGGGATGAATTACTATATGGGGGATTAATTACTATGCTTACTATGGGGGAATATTACTATACTTACTATGGATGACACATACACATCATTCATCTACTCTTGGTCCGGCCCCCGGGTCCAATATATGAACCCATTGCGGCCCTCAAGTCAAAAAGTTTGCCCACCCCTGCTCTAAATGGTCTAGGGTTGTCAGTGGTGTACCCCAAGGTTCAGTGTTATAAGTGGGGTACCCCAAGGTTCAGTGTTGGGACCCTTACTTTTTAATATATTTATAAACAATATAGAGTCTGGGATTATAAATCCCATTTCAGTCTTTGCAGATGACACCAAGCTGTGCTGCGGAATAATGTCCTTACAGGATGTCTCCAATTTACAAGCCGACCTCAATGCTCTGTATAATTAGGCAACTATGTGGCCAATGAGGTTTAATGTTGATAAATGTAAGGTTATGCACTTGGGGGCTAAGAATATGCATGCATCATACATACTAGGGGGGGTACAACTGGGGGAGTCAATGGTGGAGAAGGATCTTGGGGGGGTCAATGGTGGAGAAGGATCTGGGGGTTCTGGTAGATCACAAGCTTAATAATGCCATGCAATGCCAAGCTGCGGTTTTTAAAGCGAGCAAAATCCTCTCTTGTATTAAAAGAGGTATAGACTCCAGAGAGAGAGATATAATTTCCCCCGGTACAAATCATTAGTAAGACCTCATCTGGAATATGCAGTTCAGTTTTGGGCACCAATTCACAAAAAGAACATTGGGGAACTGGAGAAAGTACAGAGGAGGGCAACCAAACTGATAAGAGGCATGGAGGAGATCAGCTATGAGGAAAGATTAGAGGAACTGAATTTATACTCTCTTGAGAAGAGGAGATTAAGGGGGGATATGATCTCCATGTATAATACATAAGGGGGGATATGATCTCCATGTATAATACTTAAGGGGGGGTATGATCACCATGTATAATACATAAGGGGGATATGATCTCCATGTATAATACATAAGGGGGGATATGATCTCCATGTTTAATACATAAGGGGGGATATGATCGCCATGTTTAATACATAAGGGGAGGATATGATCACCATGTATAATACATAAGGGGGGATATGATCGGCATATGGAAGGCACAGTGGTATAGATATGGGCGGCACAGTGGCTTACTGGTTAGCACGTCTGCCTTGCAGTAAATGGGTAATGGGTTCGATTACCGACCATGGCGCCTCCTGCATGGAGTTTGCATGTTCTCCCTGTGCTTGCGTGGGTTTCCTCCCACACTCCAAAGACATGCTGGTAGGTTAATTGGATCCTGTCTAAATTGGCCCTAGTATGTGTATGTATGAATGTGAGTTAGGGACCTTAGATTGTACACCCCTTGAGGGTTAGGGACTGATGTGAATGTACAATATACCGTATTTGCCGGCGTATAAGACGACTGGGCGTATAAGACGACCCCCCTACTTTTCCTGCTAAAATGTAGTGTTTGGGCTATACTCGCCGTATAAGACTACCCCTCTTCCAATGCACACCAGTGGGAGGAATAGTGCCCCATCATTGATGTCAGTGGGAGGAATAGTGCCCCATCATTGATGTCAGTGGGAGGAATAGTGCCCCATCATTGGTATCAGTGGGAGGAATAGTGCCCCATCATTGGTATCAGTGGGGGGAATAGGTGCCCCATCATTGGTATCAGTGGCAGGAATGGTGCCCCATCATTGGCATCAGTGGGAGGAATAGTGCCCCATCATTGGTATCAGTGGGGGGGAATAGGTGCCCCATCATTGGTATCAGTGGCAGGAATAGTGCCCCATCATTGGTGTCAGTGGGAGGAATGGTGTCCCATCATTGGTGTCAGTGAGGGGTGGAATAGTGCCCCATCATTGGTGTCAGTGGGGGGAGGAATAGTGCCCCATCGTTGGTGTCAGTGGGGGGGGGAATAGTGCCCCATCGTTGGTCAGTGGGGGGGAGGAATAGTGCCCCATCGTTGGTGTCAGTGGGAGGAATAGTGCCCCATCGTTGGTATCAGTGGGAGGAATAGTGCCCCATCATTGGTATCAGTGACACCAATGATGGGGCACTATTCCTCCCACTGACACTTGCTGACCCTGTTCTCGTATGGTGCTGCTGCAGCCAGCATATGTGGTTGCAGCAGCACCTCTACACAGAGCACTTACCTGCTGCTCCGGCACTCAATTTTCGCGGGGGGCCGCTCGGCTCCGCCCCCTCGCCGGTGATTGGCCGCCTGTGTGCCTTTCCTGAGCTACAGTTTCTGGCGGCCAATCACCGGTGAGGAGGCGGAGCCGCGCAGCCGCACGAACATCCAGTGGCCGAAACTGAAGGAGACGCCCGCGCTTCCTGGACCGGATCGTCGTGGGACTGGATCCAGGTAAGAGACGTCAGCCCCTGCAAACCCCTGTACTTAATGCCGCAGCCCCCCTAACATGTGTACCGGCGTATAAGACGACCCCCGACTTTTGAGAAGATTTTCAAGGGTCAAAAAGTCGTCTTATACGCCGGCAAATACGGTATATGTAAAAAGCGCTGCATAAATTGACAGCGCTATATAAGTACCTGAAATAAATAAATAAATAAATAAAAAATATGATCTCCATGTATAATACATAAGGAGGGGATATGGATCTTCATGTATAATACATAAGGGGGGATATGATCTCCATGTATAATACATAAGGAGGGATATGATCTCCATGTATAATACATAAGGAGGGATATGATCTCCATGTATAATACATAAGGGGGAGATATGATCTACATGTATAATACATAAGGGGGGATATGATCTCCATGTATAATACATAAGGGGGATTTGATCACCATGTATAATACATAAGGGGGGATTATGATCTCCATGTACAGTGTGTCCAAAATTATTCAACCCCCAATGCTGTAAGGGGTTTAGGACTATAGTGTACATTTGGAATTGTATCAGAATCAAATCCTACAAGGACGTTGTAACTACCCAAATGCAAACTAAAATGACATCAATTGTTTTATTAATACAGTAGTAAATGGTTTCTTATGTGGTTTCTTCATTGCCACATAAATTATTCTCACCCTTAAAGACTACCACTCCTGAAGAACAGGGGTTCATACAGGTGCTTTCCATCAGGTATTGAAAACACCTGTGGATGTCACCGAGCAGCAATCAAGCATAATAAGCACCAATAGGGCAGCTTTTAAAATGACTGTGATACTCAGCTCCTTCTAGACATTTACTGGTGTGGTTACAAACATGGTGATCTCAAGAGAATGGTCCAGGAAGACAAGAGAAGAGGTGATTTCTCTTCCAGGAAGGGCAATGGCTATAAGAAGATTGCAAAGATGTTAAACATACCAAGAGACACCTTAGGAAGCATCATTCGCAAATTCAAGGCAAAGGGCACTGTTGAAACGCTACCCTGGTCGTGGCAGAAAGAAGCATGCTGACTTCGACTGCTGTGCGCTACCTGAAGCGTAGAGTGGA